TAAAATAAATATGGTGAAAAAATAAACAGAGGCTTATTTTATAATAAAGGGTGAAGCAAAGTTGATATTCATCTTTTTGCAACTCAAAAAATCCTTAAAAACAAATTTGTATAGCAACCGAAATTTAAAATTTTTGCTAAGGATGGATCCTTCGATATTTCCGTTTGTCCAAGTGGAGTCCAAGGTACCGGATTTGAACTGTAGGACAGGAAGTCATAGGTTTACGACGAAGGGTAAAGGTGATTTGACGGGATTTATTGGATTTTATTGTAATCCTCCAATTTTGACACCATTCTTCGAGGTTTGTGATGTGTGATTGGAGAGTTTGGGAACTCCCAAGTATTTAAATTCTTCCCCATAGGAAAACGATGCTGGTTAATTTGAACATATTCATTACTTGCTATATTATTCTTTGAGGACTTCATGTAAAGGCTTTTATCTTAATTTATACTCAGGCCAAGTTTGCTTGGCTGTCCTTTCAAATCACTCAATACGGTCAGGTGCGAAAATGTGCGAGCGATAATTAAGAAAATTATCCGCATGCGCAAAGCATTGTGTCAGTCTATTGTAAATTGCCCCTCCAGGATTGGACCTTATTGCTCTCATATCCCGCTCTAGTACTAGATTAAAAAGGACTGGCGATATAAGGTATCCTTGTCTCAAGTCCTGTTCTGTTTGAATTTACACTTCGTGGTTCTTTGTATTATCTCTGTCAAAATAATAATTTTTTTGTGAATTCCTGGCATTTTCATAATTTGGCATTTGATAACTATATGCTGTGCGAATTTTTCGCACGGGCCTACTAGTAAATTCAACATGCTTAGAAAATAGAATAACCTGTATCATCGCTAATACTGGTTCGATTCCGAAAATTTTTATTTTGTTTTGTTGGCAATTTAATTACCTTTCAATGGTTTTATTATAACTTTTACCATAGAATATATACTTAGCGAATTAGGCCCCAAAACATTTTTCTTTTCTTTATAACCGTTTCCCCTAAATTTTCTCGGGAATTTAGTACATGTACAAAAATTGAAAGGGCAATTATTAGAACATTATATTAATGTATCTTCAGAATCGTTAGAGCCGTTTTCGAGCTACAGTCTATAGAAAAATATCTTGTTCACTTATTGTACTGCCGCTATGGCGTAGGGAGCACCCAATTTGTGTCACAGGCATCAGTAGTCAAAACCCTACAAAATAAAAAAAGAAGCAATAAAATCGATTCAATAGGTCCCGAAATAATCTTGGCACAGACAGACAGACAAATGGCTAAAATTGTGTTTTTCGGACTGCAGGGGCTTTGAAACGTATAGATCCATCGACAACCGCATATCGTAAATTTGTTTCGATCGCAATACTTCCTTTACTTAGTATAGGTAGGAAAGTAATAAATAAAAATAGACATATTATTACTAAACACCGACAATTACTATTCATTATCACTATTAGAAATAAGGATAAACAGCGCCACAAGAGTATCTATTTCAATTAATTTTCCTGTTTTTTCTGAACGGTGAAAAACAAATATGATTTTGAAACCTTTTTCGCAAACAATAAAATTCTTCCTTTATACAATTAAAGAAGAAATAAGACAATTTATAATCAAAATTAGCATATAAAGAGATTAGTCCACAAGTGCTATTAAAGTCCGATTCCTGAGAATAATCCTAATAAATTCGAGGTATTTGACCCTATATATTAATAAAATTATATCGATGTAAATTATAATGTAGTGGCAAACATGACGCAAATGCAACAGATGCGATGCAGAATTTGTGAGGGGATTACTGGCAAATATGACCAAACAAGCCCCATCCCATGACCCTGTTTTTTATGGAAAAGATAATAAACTGCCCAGACTGAGAAAAGCAGGATTGAGTGATCTCATTAGAGACCTCGGCCTGTCAAAGGATAACACACACAGACCATTTTGCGGGACTTAGTTATTTGAAATCAGAGGATCTCAAAACGCATATTTCCGTTGAAAACTGAGATTGAAAAATATTCACGATCGCAATACTTTCCTTTACTATATATTTGATATATAGGTAAGTGAAAGTAAACATTGAACCAACCTACGTAACAATATGCGTATAAATATTTTCTTAAGGAGAAAGAAAGTAGATATTCGTTTTTAACACCTCAAAAACCCTTATATACAAATTTTTATGGCAATCGGAAAATTAAAATTTTCTGCTCGAAATTTTATCATCAGCCACAAAACTTTTGATAACTTTAGATCGTCCTCACCAGTTCATATGAAAATTAATAGGGATTCATGATTCTATGTGCTACACGAAATTGTATAAACCCGACCATATAAACTAATTAAAACTAAACTAATCTTATTAGAGACATGGGCCTGTCAAATGATACACACACTGACCATTTTGCGGGACATGGTTATTTGGACTCAGGAGACCTCGTATTTCCTTTGAAAACTCAGGATCATAAATTTCCACGATTCATAAATACTGTCTCTTTGTATACATTTCATTTATAGAAAAATGAAAGTAAAAAATGACGGAGTTTTTGATAGGTTTTTAGCAAATAGATTTAAATCTAAAGTATTCATCACATATATTAGTTATCATAAACCTATTGCATCATTTTTAGAGTATGATACAAATGAAGATCAGTCAAAGTAAAGTTTACCAGAGTAATTTATACACAATTATAATTGCATATTGTAATGTGCATCTTTATTTAAGAGAGTAAAAAGGTTTTAATAAATTAATGTTGAACAATTCGTAAACCAACGACTTCCTGTCCTACAGTTTTCTTTAACAATACTCCACTTATCCCTGTTGAGCAAATCCGCTACCTAGGACTCCACCTTGACAAACGACTAACTTGGAATCATCATACTAGAATGAAACGACAAGAAACTGCTCGACGTTTCCGATTACTTCAGCACTTACTAAACAAAAGCTTTAAACTTCCTATTATTTACAAAAGACTCATATACTTGACTATAATAAGACCTATTTGGACTTACGGAGTTGAGCTATGGGGCTCCACTAAACCATCGAATTCCTCTCGCATCCAATCCTTACAATCCAAAATCCTTTGTAAAATCCTCAATGCTCCCTACTTTGTTACAAATAAAACCATCCATAATGACCTTAATGTTTCTTTTGTTTCAAATCTGGCCCAATCCAGATACCTATCCTTCCATAATAAACTTCAGAATCATCCCAACCCTCACGTTTCTAACCTTGCTTCCTCTTCAATTCCTGATAACCCTCCGAGGGGTCTGAAAAGAAGATGGCCCCGTGATCTCCTAATGTAGTCATATCATTAGAGTGCTACCATTGGGTAGTTACTCAGCAAGTGTATTCATGTCATTATATCTATTATGTCCAAATTTACTTGATGTATTTATGTAATACAGTTGTAAATGTCATTATGAAATAAAAAAAAAAAAATGTTGAACAATTAAAAGGCAAGCTAATCTAGTTCTACTAGTGCAGAGAAAAGAAAATGGCTGCTCTGTAGTTTCCCAAGAAGGAAAATCCCAAAGAGGAGAGGGACAAAGGTTTTTGTTTTGGCAAGCAGTTGGTCTTTGGTTGTAGTGAAAAGAAGTTAGAAGAAGGTATCCTGGATCCAGTGTGAAAAACCTAGTAATAGTATTACCACCTTGGAAGTTGTTTGGCAGAGAGACTAGTTGGTTGAAATTACAAGAGAAGAGGATCTCCCTGGGAGCTTGAGTTAAGTAGAAGATATTGTCACCGATTTGGAAGTTGTGTTTGGCAGAACATTGGAAAGTATTTTAAGACAAATGAATTTAGTTCAACAAAGGGTACTTATTTAGTAGCGGGTTGCATCCGACTGCTATCTGCCGATGTTTATAACCTTAACACTGATAAGCTCTTCCTATTCATTTTTATTGTATTATATTCATATTATTATATCTTCGTATTCATATTTATTGTATTGTATTGATATTATTGAAATTGTGAACAAAAACAGAAACAAATGTAATAATAAAAAAAATACTTTTATTTTACAACATATACATTAAAATACACCAAAACATTATAAATATATAATTAAAAAACATTACGAAAATATTGCAACAAATGTATCAAAATAAATGAAATAATAAAAATAGACAAAAAATGAAATCCTCGATGTTCCTTTCCTTATAGAAACGGTTTTGTTACAAGCATTAATCTTCAGTCCAACTTCATTTTATGACCTTTATCACAATATTTGACCTTTGCAAATATCCCGGTGTCTTGAAAATATTTTATAGCCTCTTCTTGGGAAAACGGCAGTTCCCACAATGTGACAACATCCATAATTAAATAACACTAACACAAGAAACAAAAAATAAACAAGGAAATAACTTAGGTTAGATGAGATAAGAGAGGTTATGTGAAATGAGATTAGAAAAGAAGGGAGGTTTTGATACTACCTGCTACTAAATAAGTACCCAACAAAGGAAGAAACAGTGTATATAGAAAAAAGGTTAGCTTGCCAATCCATATTTGACATTATTTTAAAATTAGTGTTTAATTTTAGTATAAATAGTGTAAATAATAACAGTTTGTCTGAGTTGATCTGATTGTCAGTAACCCATACCTGGGATAGAATAATTGTAAATTTCAGTTTATTATATTAATATTCTTATAATTTTGTTTTTTATTTAACAACCTCTTATTTATTTTGGAAGTATCCGAATGGTATAAAGTGACCTTTTGAGGTTATATTATTATTATTAATAAAATATAAGAGAGATGTTACAATATATTGTTAATTTTATTACTTTGTGAACATAGGAAAAAAAATAGTTTATACACAGGTTCGGTTTGTAGTTTTTGAGATTTTAATATACAAAAACACTTCAATTAGTCGACTCCAGCCAACTTTACTCAAGCGTTACATATCTGAAATCTGACGGCACAATAATTCACTCTCCATAAAAAAGTGCAAAACGCAAGAAGTTTTCAATCAAAAAATACAAACCAAAATAAAAAGTGAAAGATAAGGAAATTAATATAATATTTTAATTTAAATAACTCTTTATTATACATTAATTTTTATATTCATATAATACAAACAGTTGGGAAAGTATGCATAGACATTTCTTACACTTTCCTTTCCTATCCCTTACTGCCTGGGATCAGAATCCATTCCTTCAAGATTAATTCCATTTTATATCTTTTTCAATGATTATATAAAGCAAATTTAATAAAGTTCTTTAAATGAGCATGTTATTATCACACTGTTGTCAGCCTTCTTAAATGGCCTTGTTCCGTCAGAGGCTACGAATTGGTTCATCTGGTAACTTTTCAATTGTTTGAAGTCCAGAACAATCTCTGAAAGTTGCTGTAAAAAATAAATAAATATAAGTTGTATTAATAATGAATAGCTAAATAATGAAAAGACAGATACTAGATAAGTACCCCTTAAAATCCTACCAGGAACCATTAAATTTAACATCTTTCAAGTAACACAAACAGTGAACATATGTCTAAAAAAGACACTTAGGCTTACCCAAATACCTTTTAATTTCTTGTAAACACAAGAAACAAAAACACAAGCCAAGAGAAACAACCGATCTAGACATTTGTGTTTTCTATAGTTTGTGAAATGTCTAAACGTATCTTAACAATTCTTGTTTTACCTTTGTTAAAGGGTTAGAATTTGTCGTGAAGATGCCTGTGAAACCATTCTGCCTCGCAATATCTTCTAAATGCCATGCCCCTTCGAGGGCCAATTCAACGTTCTCCTGCGGAGTTAGCTTCATTTTGGTAGCAAACATGTCGCAATACAGTATCTTACCTTTCGGAAGCGTCTTTCTAAAAAAACAAATAGAATATATGAGTATAGATCATTCAGTTACTAACCATTCACTTACTAAAAAAAAGTACTTGAATAATTGGGCAACAGAATAATAATTAAATTTTGCTCAGATAGGGATATTTAATTATTTAAATAAACTATTGTGGCTAAGATTATTAACCTGTTAACAGGAAAATAAAATTTTGTTCAACTTGTTCCACAATGGGAACTTTTTTCTTCATAATTATTAGTAATAGTATCCATCACATCTCAATTAATAAAAGGAATTAATTTTTAACTGATGGATTTTATTTATTTCAAGAAAATATTTTATAACATATATAAATCAAATAACGTAGATGCATAAAAAATTACTTGAACGAATTCAATTTTTAATTATATATTATTAATTAATTATATATTAAATTATTAATAATTTGTTTTTTAGTATATAATATTTCTTGAAGCAATAAATATGCTCGCATATAACAACGCTAAGTATTTAATAGATAAGAACTACGTAAATCTTAATGTGTTGAAAAATGTCCATGATAAAAAATGTTGTCATAGCCCAGTTACATTACACATGTTATATTGCAAAAAAAATTATGGGGTTCATTACAATGTGAGGAAGTACTGTTATAAGGCCAACGGAAGGTGGCAGGGCAATATCAGGCTCAACCGCCAGGTTTTCCGTTTTAATTAATTATTGAATTAAGAGTACCCACTTTACAGAGGCTGAGTTTGCCCCAGGAGGGTTTCCTGGATCCAGGTTTGATCCAAATTACTAGTCATCAGCCGGATTCGAACCTGGAAGGTCTGACAGTCAGTGCTCACCCACTGTTAACTTGCAAAAGATCGGGTAATTCAAATTTCTTTTTTAAATTATTAGGTATGTAGTGAATATAAAAAATCCAACTTTCCACCCTTGAAAGTCTTGTGGGTTCCCTGCAGTGTTTCAAAAACCATTGAAATTTCTAACTTTTTTTTGGTAATATTGAGCCGTTTGGCATGACCTAAACCCCCAAATTTTCAAAATAACGAGGTTATATTGGAATATAATATTTTTGAAGGCCACCTTTTTTCTAAATTTTGAGGTCAAATTATTTTACGATCCAAGTAGAAAGCAAATGGGTATTTACGAGTTTTCAGTACCTAATTAAATAGACAAAGTTTGCTCCCTTCAGATTGAAAACACCCCAATTCCAAGAGTTTTCGTAAATAAAATAGTTGTAGATTAGGATGAGATGAAACTTTTTACAAATTTTCAGGCGGATGTTAATAATTTGATAAAAAGGGGTCTACTGCGGACCCTTTAATTTTACATTAGTTAGTGACGGTCTTCTCCCTACTACTAGTCAGCAGGTCTGCGATCTATATACCCACGGCGAATACCAGGCTATTTTCACTACTCTGGGAGACTGCATTCAAGAAGAAGTGATAGGAAAAAGAGGCAGTTTCATGGAAAACTAAGACGTTAGACAAGGATGCATCCCAAATAACGATAGAGACACACTGTGAGCTGTCAGAAATAGCAGATGATAACGCACATCTTGTCAGCAAGATGTTTAAAGTGGCCATGGTTCATAGCAATCAAAGGAATTGGACGATTATGATTTATATTTAGTCATGCCTTATTACTTATACCGTTATCCACGAAACATTGTTATTTATTTCAGCTGAATTGTAACAAAGGAATTTTACAAAAAGTACATTTAGAAAACTCCACAGTTAAGTCCTGCCAAACTATTTGATGAGTGTAAGGCCTTCCTGGTTTCAAAAGTCATTTAATTATGCATGGATATAACAAGATCAATCAAAATCGTTAGTAAATTTTTTGAGCAAATCTTAAACAAGTGAAAACCTTTATAATCGGATAATAAAGTGAGAACTTCCGATTAGCCGATTTTAGTGAGAAATTTGTGGCAGCATTCCTCGGATACATGTGCCTTAAATATACAATTTAAGCTTTGTACAATGTTTTTTGTTTTAGCTACACTTTTCATAGACACAAATACACACAGAGAGCAGTTTGTGAAAATTGGTTTTGTCCATCAAAACATCTATTTGCGTTTAAAACTGAGATTCAAAAATTTTCATGATCTTTTCCTTACAATACATTTCATATATCGATAAGTGAAAAAAGAAATTCTTAAATATAGAAAGAATCCCAACTACCCACCAAAACAATTATCTAGGTATTGGCCAAGAGATCTTCTGAGCTAATTTTTATCCCAATTGTAAAGCTGTCATAAAATGTGTTTATTGGAAAGAAATTTATGTTTCCAATTTCATATTAAGTCAGAATGTTATGACAGGTTACTGTAAAAGTTGACAACTAATTTTTCTAGCATAAAACGTGTTAGATTATGAGATTCATATGGTAATGTATGCGGATCATTACTATTCAATATTTTCAAAGAATACGACCAGACTTTACTTGCAACATTTGCTGACCATACTGCACTTCTTACATCACAAAAATTTCCTAAAATAGCCTGTGTCATTATACGAAAACATTAAGATTTCTAATTGGGCTTTCAGATGGAATAAAACAATGAATGAATCCAAAACCATATTCATCATTTTTTTAGATTATGTCCACACCTATATTATAATAACGTTGCTATACCCAGATCCTGAAGAATGCTTTATTTGGGACTTCAGCTGGACAAGAGACTGACATGAACCCTGGACCCCATACTACACTCAACAGAAAAAAACTTAACAAACGATGTGGATTATTATCGAGGCTACTTAACACACTTACTATATACATATTATGGTACTTCTTGACTAGCAGGCCGGCACTGAAACCTCACTTCTTATCTATCTTATCTAACGTCATGTCACATAACCTCCCTCTTCTTTTCTCGCCAAAACTTTGAGTTATTGCATTGTTTAGTTTTCAGTTATTCCCTTATTACGTTCACTTATTAAATTCTTTACTTTTGGCCCGTTTTTATTTATTTTTCATTACTTTTAGTTTTTGGCCTGTTTGTGTTTATTTTTAATTCTTTTTTAGTATGTTGCCCATTTGTGTTTATTTTTAATTTTTTTTTCGTTTATTTTCGTCATATTATGAATCTTCTTAGTATACGGGATTTGTCGTCTTCAGAAGAACTGGCAATTCAATATTTTAAAAATGTTGGGAAACTATGACCATTTTCAAGTGAATCACCGGTATAATTTTGTGGATCCATCAACTGGGATTCATACTTAACACATAGAACGATTATGGAGCTCAAGGAAGTGGAGAAATAAAGTACATAGAGGAACTGCCAGACAACACCTCGATTCATATTTGTGCGAATTTTTGTGGCGGTGGGTTCACAGAGAAGAGGACCCGTTCCTCGCTATTTTAAATAGCATAAAACAATTTTGCCTCCCAAAATAAATAAGACAAAGTGAAAATAAATTGTACATATGTTGTTTATAGTGTTGATATTTTTTCTTTTCTATGTAAATATGTTCTTTAAATGTTTTTTTATTGTTTCATTTTCATCTTTTATATCTACATATGTTCTTCAAGTGTTTTTTATATACCCTTTATGGACTTACGGGATAGAAGTAAGGGAAACTGTAAAAACTTCTAACATTCATAAATTCATACTTGGCCACAAACGACTTGGACATCCAAATGGTTTTAGATACTGTACAAAACAATACTTTTTTTTCTTACTAACTTCTATATACTTGTTTAAATAACAAAAAAAATTACAAAATTTTTTCCGATAAATAAAAATTGAAATTCACACAAAGTAACCAATTGAAAGCAGTTCAATCGATTTAAATATGTATTTTATATCTTAAAAGTAAATGTAATAAATGGTAACATAATATAAAGAAAGTACCCACTTTAATGGTTCTTCCAGGGATTCGAGGAGCTCAATCACGTAATCATAATTTGATTTTAGCCTAACAGGCTGGTCATCGATGATGTCCATTAGTATCTTGCAGCCGACTACCTCATCCGTATTGATGTCCTTTATGACAAAACTGTAATCAATGCCAAATAACTTACTATCATATTTCATTATGTTAGCTTGATAATTTTTTATTAAATAACATTGAAAGTACTGGATGTTAATATATAACATAGTGGTGGTAAAAGAAGAATAAGAAACTCATTTGTTCAACATTTCTACCAAGGTGGGTTATAGAGATGAGAAATTCGATTCTATTAACTAAACAGATTCACGACGATTCAATCATTGTGAGGAATGGATTCTTCGATTGATTATTCGATTGATTCTAACCATCTTTTTTTTTCATTAAAATAAAAAAGGGCTTTTTATTGAAAAAAAAAATTCTCAAACCTTATGGTTATTCAGACAATTTTTTTTTTACTATAAATGCCCTTAATTAAGACAGAATATAATATTCCTGAATAAAAAATATTTTAAAAAATCCTAATAATCTAATACATTAAGTTTTGCAGCAACAGATAGTACTTACAAAGGCTTGACCAGTTTGTTTGTATTTGTAGTTTGTATACCAATAAAGTTTAAATTGAAAAATATAACGACATTTTATATATTATTATTAATCAAGATATTATTGTTACCTGAGTGGATTATTAATAAGCTTCGGCCAGACAGCATCAAGCAACTGAATGTATTCATGCTTTTCCACCGGAGGCTCCATACCCATTTCAATACAGGATTTATTGTAGTAACTATCAGTGATGATCCTATAAAAATCATTATTTTTTTTTATGAGAAATTATATTAGAAATAATATTTGACTCGAGTCAACTTTTAAATGATCTAATTACCTATAAATATCTGCTTTATACTTTTCTGAGATTTGGTCAAATTTATATTTATTTGAAGAGGTTTTATTATAACCCTTATTTCCATTAGTTTTTGGAGTCATCTTATTTACCAGGTCCAGTATTGTTTCTGAACTTATAAAGTCAGCTACATCTGAGATTATTACAAAATTAAATAAAATTTCCAAATAATTCTTTATAATTTTGTACAAATGGACCTGCTTCAGCCACTAGTGGATCCAGGATTTAATTTTGGGGAGGAGGGCTTCATCCCGAAAGCTTTTTTTTTTTCATATATATAACGATAATTACTTTGGAAAAAAAAAAAAGAAAGATACTAACTACATATATGAAATGGTGTTTAAAAGATTCTTGAAGTCCTAGTAAATGTAATTACTCGAACAATTATGCGTTAAGAGATAAATTTTTAATATAGTTTTTAATAAAATATGGTTACATTTTACCATTTTGAGGGAAAGAATAGGGACTCAGCCCGAAAGCTCTCCCCCGTAGATCCACCTGTGGCTTCAGGTCTTAAAAACTTCTACTTACTGATGTTGTATCCTTCTTCGCTAAGCTTTTCAATTACCACGATTGTGTTTTGTGAATCTCCTCCGAGACTGTAGAAGTTGCTCTCCAGAGAAAGTTTCGGAATCGCATGGGGCATCACTGAACTGAGTACTGTCCACAGACATCCTATGGCTCTTCTTTTTTTATCTACTAAAAGATTAAGAATAAATTTATAATTTAGAGATAGAGAAATAACTTTATTATGGGACAAAGTCCCTTGAGAATAACAAAATGGTACACAACAAAGGAGTACTTCTGGGCTAGAGAACTATATTAAATAAATAAAATATCTTACGTAAACTAACAAATATACAAAAAAAAGTAACAAACTTATGAAACTATTTACAAAATGTCTAGAATTATATACAATACAAATAAGAAATAAAACAAAATAATCACTGTTTAACTAAAAAAATAAAGATATAAAAAAATAAATAATACAGATAAAACAGAGGAACAAAAACAATAAATAAAAAATTAATCCCTCTAGTAAATGAGAAAAAAGTATGAATAACTGAGATGAAGTCAAATATAAAGAAATTTACTGATATTAAGATATTTTATCGTATTGAATTTAATTATCAATATAAATATAACATTTTTTAAACCATATTGTTATTTCTTGTCTCTAATGATATATATTTATAGGTAAAAGAAGTAAGATAAAATAGAATCTGTTGTTTGGGGCTTTCTAATTTCATATAAATGGCGCAATTTTTTTACTTCATTAATATCATTATTAAATTAAATTAATCGTGATTATAGTCCATTATCAGGAGCTCTTCAATTCATAAAACTGTTTTATTAAATTCAAAGAAATTCAACAATATTGTGATTGAATTGAATTAAACTTAATCAACAATTATATATATATATATATATATATATATATATATATATATATATATATATATATATATATATATATATATATATATATATTATATATATATATATATATATATATATATATATATATATATATATATATATATATATATATATATATATATATATAAATTAAATATTTATAAAAAAAAATTAAATATTTTTTAACCTTATTTATTAGGCATTTTAAACTGAGAAATCATTTTCTAATTATCTGAAAAATAAGATAAGATGCGAGTATGTAGTTTGGAGCAATCTAACAGAAAGCTTTTACACAACAATGGATTCCTCAATTGGTGGAAACAGACCATGTGGGAGACCAAAAAGCAGATTAATAGATCAAATCAACAAAAATGCAGTAGAGCTGTATACAAATAACTGGAAAGCAACAGCAACAGCCCTTATTAGATTGAAGTGGAGATTGCAGCTTCCATACTGCCAAGGAGGACGGACTTATGTTACTCGACCTCCTGCGGATTACTCTCTACTCCGTGATTCTTTCCAGAGCTCATTGTGTTGACAGATGTCCTATAGGTAAGATGTGTTTTGTATTTAGTGACTGGTTTTAATGTGCTAGTAAGTGTAGTGGTTGAGACACTCAGTAGCAAACCAGGACTCCAAGTATTGGAATGTATTCTCAAATTTTGAGAAGTTTTTGAGTGGGAGAAGTTTTGTTTTTGTTATAACTTTGGTTGGAGGTGGTGTAAGTTGGTGTAATGTGGACAGGAGGTAAGTGCTCACATGTGTTTTGAACCTGGGAAGATCCGAACCTCCATAATGTGATAAAAATCAAATAGACAGGTCCAAACCTAGGAAAAAATCTAAAACTGTTATGTAATTTACTAAAATTAAACTATACGAGTACTATAGGAGACATTGAAAGCTGGACAAGTTGCAAGTGGATGAAATACAAAAGGGACGGAAGATTCAAGAGGAATACTCCAAAAGACACTATACCGAGTAGGAACTCGCTGGAAGATCTTAGAAAAACGAAATGGCGGCCTATAGTATGATAAGAGGTGGTTCCAGTGAGACTGGAATAAGTTATTTTAATCAAAGTAGGCCACAGGCGGGCTGCAAAGGCAGACCTAGGGAGACTTCAATGCCTGTACTCCCAACAATGGCCGGAACCCGGTGATTTACAGGGGGGGTCAAGTAGATTTAGAGAATACAATGTTAGGTAACGGCAATGTAGTGTGTCCAAACCTCGGCAAAGGTGAGACCATGGTGCTGTGGAGAAAGGAGCGGTTGATGGTAAGCAATACAAAACTGGAGATGTCTAAGAAAAGGGACAAACGAAATGGCCGAGGTAAGAGACCCTCGAATCTGATGAAAATGGTAGTAAGTAAATTATATTTTCAGCATAAGGTCAAGAATAAGAAATATTGGGAGGGTCATCGAGTGTAACCCAATAAACAAAGAGTGGTGGGTTGTTCGTGAACGAACACCTCCAAGCCCTAGTGATATAATTAATAAAGTATATAGAGAGAGATTGGAGATCAAAGCCAGAACTAGCATGGTCCCTGGGCTGGTAAATAGAACACTGAAAGAAACACTCAATACACCAGAGGTCTATCGTATAATAACGGATAACATATTGACACATGTCATTTGAAGATGTATGATTGTGCTCAATTGAGCTCTCTATTACTTGAATCCTAAGGAAGTCTGAGAAATTATTCTGGTTACAGCGGCTCTTCTGAGGGCAAAGATAGAGAAGGAGCAGAGGAACCAGAATCAAGAAGAAGCAGGGAACTGAAGAGAAGAAGACGGTGAGGGGGGTGGGGGGAAAAAGCAAACCGATTGCAGCATTTATGTTGGCTCTCATACCCTTAGAAGATAAAGAATAAATACTGAGAGGGGGACGAACCTCTTCATAATGGATGATCACTCAGAAGAAGGAAAAGAACGTCCAGCCTGAGAGGAAGGAGGTTGAACTGAGTGGGAAGAACAAAATAGTGGGTGCCCAGAATAGTTTATCATCCCAGCAGGAAGGTATCTGGGACAGTACCGCCCTTAGGGCCAGGCAAACAGGGAAATTGCATTCGCCACTTATTATAAATATAAAATAAAAATCGCATTAAAATAATTAATTTATGTCTATTAACAAATCAACTGTGCTAGAGAAGTATTGAATGAAATAATATTCAAATATTGCGTAATATAAAACAGCTTAAGAAATAAATTTAATTTTTTTAGGGGAAGAGGAATGATGTCATTGTTTTGTTTGGGTGTCGAATGTCTAATGCCAGCACTGATCTGGAGCAACTCAGGAGGTCCCGGCATATGTCACAATTATAAGGGAAGTAGATGTATGGAATTAAGCGGGGATTTAGAAGCAATTGCGTAGGTCCAGAAGACGAGATATGGAAGGTTTAAGACTGGTCTAGATCAAAATGTGCAGAAGACGCGTAGTAGTGGAAGAAGTTGGAGAGATGGTCCGGTACTGTGACATGCTTACAGTACAGCAGCTGTGGTAGCAGAGAAGCAGGGTCGCCAGATTTGGTGTCGTGTCGAAGGTATCGATGCTGGCTAGTGGAGCGAAGAAATACCAGCTCACCATCCTCAATGAATCTTTGATACCCACATTTGTGGGAGCAAGGGGTTCATTCCGAACTCGGCATGGGCAGGTTGACTTTTATTATGTTGACTCTCCTCCCCTCCTATATGCCAGAAATGGCGAAGTAGAGGGTGATTAAATACAAAAAAAAAAAAAAAAAAAGGAAAAATCAAGTTGGGGTTGATGACTTGATAAGGAGATCTAAGAACAACGTCATTAACGAAAAAGCAAACAGAAAAAAAAAAATGTTTTCTTTCAAACCTGCTATTTGATTGCAGCGATGAAGAAGATGTTTCCTGTCAACTTTACCGTTGACACGTAATGGCATCTCGTCTATTATCGTCACCTGTAATAAAACATAGAAGAAACTTTATATTTTAATTTTATATAAATAAATGAAGGTTAAATTTTTGTAACTTAAATAACAATTTTCATCAATAAATTAATTTTTTGAACCATTTATACTTAGATTTTGTGAAAGTTATATCTGTATAAGTTCTAGTTCACAATTTATTTAGTTGTTCATTGTAGTGAATATTACTTTAAAGGCATTGATTATGAAAATAAATTTACTTATAAGTTATTATATATTGCACAAATAAATTTGAAATAATTTTTACTTTAAATTAATCGAAATTTTATAATATTTTTAAAAACTGTCTTTCTTAAAATAATTAGATACCTGTGGAACGGCATAGGATGGTAGGCTTTTCAATAAAAGTTTCTGTATGTCGTTAGACTCTGCAAGCACACCTTCATTTAACTTGACAAAAGCGACCAGTTCCTTAAACAAAGAGATCCATGAAATTTTTTGAGATATCCAGGAGTGAATAACAATAATTTTGAATAAGAATAAAATGATATCAAGTTTAGCATTTTAAAATATGAATTGGCAATCAAAATGTATACTATCATACATACATATATATATATATATATATATATATATATATATATATATATATATATATATATATATATATATATATATATATATATATATTATATAAATTGATCACATTTTATTTTGTGTTTTGGATGTATTTACTTCAGAAGGTGATTGGGGCCATTAGCACCATTTTTATATAATACTTAATTTATTGTGTTATCTAATGAATGATTTATCGCTAGGTATTTCAGTATCTTAATACTTTTTTTTTGGCTTTGATTTTTTTTTAGGAGAGAGAAACACTTTATTTTTATATAAAATATAAAAGATTCCTGCCCAATTATATTGGATTGCTATATACACAGCATACTCGTAATCCGTAGGACAATAAATGAACTTATATATAGATATACAGAAGTGGTTAGTTTATATTAGTAAAATAGATATATGTATGTACATTTTTTTTTCTTTCTTTCATTGTTCATTCATGCTTTCCCTCCCCCTTTTTTAAACATTTTATTTCCCTTTCTCTCATTTCTCTCTCTTTATTTGTCTTTTTTTTTTTTTCAATTTTCCATTAAATAATTAAATAAATACATAAATTAAATACATATTTCATATTACTTTGTACAGAGCCTTTGATCACAGTGTAGTATCATTTTAATTTTTTTTTATCACATCTTCTAAACAACAGAAGTTGCAATATATTTATCTTTTTCTTTGGTAGTTAAAAATATTTATATGATTAATTTAATTACCCTTTCTGTATAAACTATTTAGTAAAGGATATTTTATTTTACTTTTTCTCATCTGTTTTCTAATACATTTTTGTAACTATGTAGGTATTTATTTTAATTTTTGCTTGTGTAATCGGTCTTATGGACAGAATTCACCATAATTTGTGTGTTTGTACTGTTATTCTCAGGGGACATTGTCCAAGAATAAAGTTGATGTTTCTTTTCTCCTCTATTCCAGTATACTAAAGGCTAGTAGTGATTGTGGGTTATAATTGGTGAATACATTCTTGAAATGAAAGCTTTGATGATAATAAAATTAAAGGTACATCCATTGGAAAAAGTTAATTGTTTTTAGAAATTCATTAATAAATTATTATTTCACATATATTATTACAGTAAGGCTCGAAATCGGTTTTATACTAAATAGCTCCTGTCATGCTCAAATACCATGAATGGGGTACTGTCGGATTCAGAATTTCACGGGGAGTTAGCGAATCATATTCTCCACTTTTGTTTTTCTTTCTAAAATATATAAAGTCGATACAAACAGTTTGCTAGGCTTCAATACTGGAACGGTGGTAGGTCTGTAGATCGATACGGGATAAATTGAATTTTGATGCGTACAGCAAGACCCAGATAGTTCCTCTGGAACTATCGGATCCTGCGTTTTTAAGTCCAAAAATGTACTATTTTTGAGATAACTCAAGGCATAGGATTCGTATCCACACAACCTTATATTAATTGTAGTACTGTCATTGAATACATGTCTCATTTCATTGACTTGAGGTCTCTATGATCAAGAGAGGAGGAGTTTATATTATTTTTCGATGGTGTTTTTGATCGGCAAGCCATATCATCGTTAATTTTTCACCAAATCTAAAGATTGAGCCACCAATTTTGAAGGCTTCCTTCTCCTTCAGGTGGGCAAAATATTCCAATCACCCCAAAAATTCAGGCAAACAAGTTATGAAAGAAAACAAACTTTATTTGCTAATAACTAAAAAATTAGACACTTTTCCCTTGGTTAAGCCCATGATTATATAAAAGATTACTAAGTTCCCTACAAAATGAAAAAAAAAAAATCATTGAAATCGGACAATATTTAGCAAAAATACAGCTTACTGAAATTTGTATACATGTTGGTTCTAAACAGAAATGAAGATTTAAATTTTTGTTTTCTTTGTCGATTATATTTTTTGATAAAGGAACATTTTATTTCTTTGTCTTTTGATATGCTGCATTATTTTATTTTCTTATTAATTTGGCATTTGATAACAATATGCTGTGCACATTTTTCGCCTGGGCCTACTTGTGTTAATTAATAAATTAAATATTTTTATTTTGTTCTTGTTAGTTGTAAATTATAAGGTACCTGATCAGCCTGGTCAGTTCTGTAACAGAGGACAACACTTTCTTGAACTGTTTGTAATTTATTGAGAGCTGTTTCTACTTCATTCATATCTACTATTTTCCCTCTCAATTTTACCTGAGAGTCATTTCTTCCTTCAAACAATATGGTCTCCTTGTGTACTGAAGCATAGTCTCCGGTCCTGAACAGGATTTTGTATTCTAAACAATTGAAATGTTTGATGAGGCTATCAAATTTTAATAATGAATGTTTTTAGCTAATCATTAAACGTGAAATAGTATTTGATAAATATTAGTTATTAGCTTTACCCGGCTACGGGCTGCTGTGGCTTAGCCTGGCAAAATGAAAAAGAAAGAAAATAGAAAGCACATATGAGTAGATTAATAGTAAAGGACATATGTCATTTTTAAAAAGTTAGGAAACAAATTCGTCTGTAAAATGGCTTCAATTTAAACTAATTCTAATGATTTTTTTTCTCATGAATCAAATTGGATATTCATAATCATCTGACTGAATACGCCGTCATTCATAATCATCAGAAACAGTCTGAGTTGAACTTATAAAACTAAAATAAAAAATTAATATAAAGAAAGTCTAATAGTATTGACCTACATAAGGAGAATCATATAACTTCTTCAAATGATAATTTCAATTACTGTAGTAATTGAAATTAAATTCACACCTTTCCAGGAGTGTACGGAACAACTTCCCAAAGTTTCATGGAGATCGGATGAATGGTTTAGTAATGCACAAAGGACAAACAGACAGACAGATAGACATACATTCATTTTTATATATATATATAGATTAAATTTTGTTGTAAAATTTTATTTTTATAAAATTATTCATAGAATTCAGATTATAATTTCTAATTATTTTTATTAGAAAAATAAAATAATTCAATAACACATTAAGACCAAATTTCATTAGATTATTATTAAGTTTTATTGATTGCAATGGTCAACATAATAGTTACTATGAACTCATTGTCCCCTAATAAACATTCATCTTGTTTAAAGTAAATAATAGTATTAAACTGTCTTCTTTATTTTTATTTTGGAGTGTCTTAGCTTAGTGAGAAATGCACTGCGCTCATATGCACCAGTTCCCATTTTTAAAACAGTTGAATGACAGATAATTATCTATTCTGTTACATCAGCCGTGGGTCAAGATTGGGGTCTGGAGATCCTTCTGTAGCGAACCTAGCCTCTATAAAAAATACTCTACAAATGATATTGTTAATTAAATAATAAATTAAGGGGAAAACCTAGTTATTGAGGGTGCTCTCGGTCAAATAGACTCCTTGTGTGACTGTTAGACAGGAAACAGTACTTCCTTAAAAAATACAGAACCCAAGACTTTAAGGGTTATAGTGGTATAGGTTTTTATTTTTTTTTATTTCTCCATCTTAACCAATATCATGATGAGAAGACAGTAAATTACGTAAAAAAAAAAAGGAATGATATGGCCTTTTTATTTCATGTTTAATGTATATTCAGTTATCGTGATAAAGACCATGCGTGGATCACTTCTAAGTATTTTTATTTTTTGCCTATATTCTTTTCATTTTTACACCCATCTCCCTCCTTCTTACTTCTATCCATTTCTTGCTTTCTTGCTTCTTCTTATCAGCTGCAAAAACCTTTGTATTTTTCACTATTCTGTCGAACTTGTCCCTATCTTGGTAGTCCTCTTCTTTATTACCCATTTTTTTCACTGTTTCTTTTATTTTTTCCGGATAACCTATTATGTTCTTCAGTCCTATTACTTTATCGAATACATTTTTGTTTAACCTGTTCTGATCCAATCTCTTCTTATGCCAAAAGAACTTTAATCTTCTTTTTCTCATCAATGATTCCATGTTTTATATTTGTTCATAAAACTCACCTCTCTTTTTTAATCAGTATTCTTCACCAACTTTTCTCGGGCCATATATTTTTCTCAGAATCTTTCTTTCTGTTCTCGATAATGATTCCATATTAGTAAATCCTATAGTCTCCGTCCCATGATTATTTAATTTTGGCTTTCTGGCAAAGATTATTTTTATTATGTAAACTCCTGACTAAAAACCTCAATTTATCCAATTTTACTTCTCTACTCTGTATTACTTGCATGTCTCCCCCATAGTAGCTCATGAGTTCCCCAAGTTATTTAAACTGTTTCACTAATCTGATTTTTCCTTATTTAGTTTCAGTATTTTCCTCTTTTCCCTTATCCCTTAACCCGGCTCTTTCTGCTATTTCCTTCAGTTCATTTATTTGATTAACTGCCTCTGGTTCACTTTCCGCCATAAGTGGTAGATTATCCACGAAAGCCAGTACCTGATTTTTACTCCTTCTTTTCTCCCTTCTATCCTTACACCATATTTATTGGATTCCAAAAATGTTCTCATAATTTTGTTCAAAACTATATTGAATAAAATAGGTGATAATCCCTCTCCTTGTCTTAATCCTGTTTTAATTTTTAACGGTTCACTAATTTAATTTTAGAGTATATTTCAGTTAAAGTTAGTTTAATTAAATTTATACTTTTTTGATCTACTCCGTATTCCCTTAGTATCCGAATAAGTGTTCCTCTATCTACCGAATTGTAGGCTTTCTGAAAATCCATGAAGGAGAAATAAATTTTCTTTGATCTAATAATTTAGTACCTCAAAATTAATTTTAGACTTAGTATTTGTTCTGGAAATGATCTCCCATTTTTAAATCCTACTTGGTAATCTCCTATCTGATGATCGATTTGCAGTTCTAATCAATTTAACAGAGCTCTCGACTGAATCTTGTATATAACAGGAAGTAACGAAATCCCTCTATAATTATTTGTATCTGTTTTCGCCCTTTTTTATGTAGTAGATGTATTAGTTACGTTTTCAATTCTTCTGGTATTTCTTCCTTCTTCCTGTTTTCCTCCATCAATTGTGTCATTTTAATAATGTATCCTTCTACCACGCATTTTCACATTTCAGCTATTTATTATTCTGTCTTCCCCAGCCGCTTTGTTATCTTTTAATGAGTATATATCTTTAATTTCATCGATTGTCGGTGCTGAACTTTTCAGGTTGTTTTGGACTGTCAGTATTCATTTCTAGTTTGGTTGTAGGGTCTTCGCAGTTAACTGTGTTACTAGTCCTAAGCCAGTTAGAATAATATATATATATATATATATATATATATTATTCTATATATATATATATATGTATATATATATATATATATATATATATATATATACATATATATTTTATTCCATGAAATCTGGGTTCTTATTATTACCCTAAGAAAAAATACTTCCTAACACAGTAAAGAATCCAAGACTCTTCATGATGTACTGATACACATTTCAATTTGTTTTTATTTAAAATCAACTTAGTTTAGGAGTTAAAATAGAAAATTGTTATTATTGTGATGTATGACATATAATTACCTGGATCAGCTGTATATGTGTTCTCAATAAACAAGATAGGATCTCTACCATTAACATAGCTCTTGGCTACTTGTTTGCCTGCAACATATAAGTTTCCAATCTTTCCACTATTTACAGGTCTCATTTGTTCATCAAGTAGATAAACCGCTGTGTTATCAACTGGGCCACCTACATCCATTTTTAAAAATGATTTTTAATAATCGTTAAGTGGAATTGTTACATTCAGAGATTATTCATTGTGAGTAAATACTACATACCAATTGGTACTTTGCCTTTAACCTGTATGTCATGTTTAGTTTTCATCACATGGTATATGACAGCACCCATAGTTTCTGTTCTTCCATAAGAGTTACACAATATGTGTGTGCCACCATTTGTCTCGGACCAATCGAAGAAATCCTCAGCCAGAGAGCATGGAAGAGTTTCACTACCACAAATCCACAATTTCAACTGTCTTAAGCTCTAAACCAATTAAAAACACAAAAATATTTATTCATGCTTTTTACTTTACAATATTTAAATAAAATTACAGTATCAAATAAATAATTTAGTAACATTAGAATTATACTTGAGATATTAAGATAGGTTAAATTTCAAAATAAATAAACCTTTGATACTTACAGTGTTGTCATTTGTGTTTTTTAAATGTGTGAGAATCGAATTGAGAAGTTTTGGTACTAATATGATCCTACCAACCTGTAAAAACCAACAGCTTAATTGTTACTTTTATAGTTTTCATGGTGATTTTTGTAAGGGTAATTTACAATGAAAAGATATTTTAATGCTGCAATTCTTAGAGATTTAACTCACTTTGTATTTATTTAGTATAGGTACTAGAAGCTGAGGATTAAATCTGGCACTCCTGGATAAAATTAATATAGGCAGTGGATGTTCTGGATTTAGCAATGGCGCCCAAACCTCTGCCACTGAATCAAAGAAAGTAATAGAAGACCTGAAGCAATTAGTTTCCTCTTCATTTCCAAAAGGAAAACATCTCCACTGCCATTCTAATCTATTCAAAATTGAGCTGCTCCTTATCCTTACACCTAAAGCCATAAAATTAAAACATAAGCCATTCAATAAATATTACACCAATATATTCTTTGTATGACTGTTGATGCTACTCCCGAATAACTTGTCAATTATTAATTAAGTAAACTAGGTAAATTATTTCCATACCTTCATGCATAAAAATAATAAGTCCAGTTAGCAAGCAGACTACAGTATGTGATTACTCTAATGAAGAAATAAATTTTAAATATTTATTTTTATTAAATTAGTTCAATTTATGAGAGAAATTACACAAGAAACGACATATAAACAAAGCCTCTTGATTATCTCAAATATCATTAAATCCCTAACTAGTGGGTGTTTCACCCATTCCAGTATCATGATGTTATAAGCCAAATAGAGATAACTACAAATAATTACAAAACAATTTACTAATAAAACATCATCAGGCATTTCACTTTTTAACGAAATTGTGAAATACAAACCATTTTATGGTTCTGAGGGAAGTTCAATTAAAAAAAAAATACAAAAATGATAATTGCTATATGTTTTTTTTTTGCTCCTCCTGAAAAGTTGACCAAATTGAGATGATATATGTTTATCTTACAGTGAGGATATGTTAGTCATTCTTCAACTGTTGATTGGATATGTACTACCTGTAGTCTTTATTTATGTGATCTTATATTTTTTTTGGCTTGATGATGATTGAGATAGCAAAATGCTGTCTGGTTAATTATTTAATGTTATATGAGATATCAAAGGCTTTTTTTTTTTACTATCTTCCAATAACATAATAGTTAAGGATTGCATTAATGATAAATTTAATTTGTCTCCATAGAGTGCTACCAGTGGGTAGTTTCTCAACAAGTCATTTCATGTTATTATTTTCTGTTATCAAATTTACTTAATGTATTTAATTTTTTAATACAGTTGTAAATATCATGAATAAAAAAAAAAAAAAAAAAATTGTCTCCATTATGCTGTTTCATTCCAGTCGTGCTAAATGCCTCTCATCATAACCTCCTTGTCTTCGTATCATGTGATATTGATTGACCAGCTTCTGTAAGCAGCTCTTTATCGTTCTTTTTCCTCCATACTAATCCTCCATAATAGTATTATGATTCCAGATCGTTCCGGTCATTGTGCGGAGGAATTTTCTCTCAAATATTCCAATAATTCTTTTAGGGCACTAGATAGGATCCAGTTCTCGAAACCGAATATGAGAACTCGCTTGATCATAAGTTACGGAATGGACTTAATCCGTAACAAACAATAATAATAATAATAACGGTATTAATTTAACTTTTATTTTATACTATGCCAATTGGTGGATCATGTTTATCATTTAGTTTCTCACATAAAAGCACAAAGCCCTAGATAGCCAGGTCAAGCTATCTCTGATAGCTTAGAAATAGTTATCTAGAATGTACTGACTGGACAGAAGACACTTATCAAGACTTAGGGAACAATAACCGTTTTCAGTAAAAGAGCACTTTCTCACAGACTTCATATCAATTCTAAAAGATAAGGATATCAATTCTTAACTTCATTCACACGCTTCCTAGACCGTCCAGAATTGATTCCTCCCCCCTACTATTCCTGAGTATATAACCCCCATGATCCTCAGACCAAACCACTCATGCAGTTGCATTGTTGAGTCATACTCTTAACTGCAGGAGACCTGGAGTGAGCTCGTGTAGTCAACCCATTATCCATAGTATATAACTCTGTATTTTAGATGCCATTTGTAACTTTATGATTAGAAGCATTACTTAGAAAGTCTCCACTGCCTCCGATTCGTTAACTATAGAATTGTACACGCTTAATTTGAGATTTTACCGGATTTCAATAACTTTGAAAGAAAAAAGAAAGCTCTGTAAGCACTTGCTATGCGCTTTTCTATTTCTGCCCGTTGGCCATCCATTGAGTTTATTGTGCATATCCAAATGTATTTGAATTGGTCTACTCTCGAGAAAGCGATTTCTCTTCTACGTCGATCCTGTTGTTTGGGTGTGATTTTCGACTTATCTCATATTTTGTTTTATCTTTATTTATTTCTTTTATCAAAACTAAAACTAAATACAACAACGTTAATGAAAGCCGGTAAAGAACTAGGACTCGAATTAAACATGGATAAAACAAAATATATGGTTAGCTCCAAAAATGGCGATACTACTGGTGATATCGATATAGATGGTAATATGTTTGAACAGGTAGATAAATTTAGGTATCTAGGTTCTACGATAACTAGAAAAAACGAAATTGAAGAAGAGATTAAGGTTAGACTGAAGGCGGGGAATGCTTGTTATTTTTCTGTGACAAAACTACTTAGTTCGCGCCTCTTGTCCCGTAACTTAAAAATTAGAATCTATAAAACAATTATCTTGCCTACAGTTCTTTATGGATGCGAAACTTGGCCGCTTACATTAAGAGATGAGCAGCGTCTTAAGGTTTTTGAAAATAAAGTATTGCGTAGAATATTCGGACCGAAGAAGGATGAGTTAACCGGAGAGTTCAGACGGTTACACAACGCCGAATTGCGTGAGCTGTATCCGGGTAATATAATTAAGGTAATTTCATCGCGGCGAATCAAATGGGCTTGTAAAGTTGTTGGGCTTAGTAACGAGAGAATTCCTAAAAGGTTAATATTTGCTGTGCCGAATGGTAAGCGTCCGAGGGGTAGACCGAAGCGAAGGTGGGAAGATTGCATTAAAGCCGATCTGAAGGGACTGGGTTTGGACGGCGAACGGTGGAGGGAGGTGTGTAACAAGCGATTGGTGGTGTCGGCATCGAACCTTAGGATTCGCTAAGCCTTATTATTATTATTATTATTATTATTATTATTATTTCTTTTATCAGAGTCATATCGAGTCAACTTCCTCTTAGTTGCTTCCAAGTTCTCCTATATCATCTGCAAATCCAAAGATTTCATGATTCATTCCGACGTACACCTCTCCATTTTCACGTAATGTTCTTATCACATCCAGCGCTAAGTTGAACTATTGGATGGATTCATAATTTCGTTCGGTCTTTGAAGGGTGAAATAAAACATGTTTCTGTTTCATAAAAAGAATAAATTTTATTCTATAATATATCTTGACATCTTTCTAACAATTTCGTTATGCCGCTCTCGTAAAACATCTGGGGCTTAGAACCGAAAAAGCGATCGAGATAAGTTTTCACACCCCTCTTTACAGATTTTTGGAGGAACCATAATAAGTCGTAGTTGGATGGTGCAAGGTGAATACGGTGTCTGTGATAAAACATTCTAGATAAGTTGCTCTAACTTATACTGTGTGATTATTACGGAGTGTGGTCTGGCGTTGTTATGGTTGATTCAAATCCTTTGTGATTGACTAGTTCTGGGAGTTTCTGTCGCAATGCTTGATCCAATTTGGTTAGCTGCGTGCGGCAGATCTTCGAATCAATCAATTTTCTATGTGGAAACAGCTGGTAATTTGTGAACAATTTCCTAATTAATTCCTATCCTCTTTCCTTAAAATATCCTCGGCTAGTGCACGCACAAAGCTTGCGGAATATATATGTATATTATACTTGCATATTCAAATAGATATAATAAAATTATGTAGAATAAGAAAAAAAGGAAAGAAAATTAATCAAAGAAGTTTAAATTATGATTATTAATGTTCTTGTTTGATTAAAGAAAATGCTTTGTAAACTATCTGCAATTAAACATTCGGTAAAGTAAAGTGAATTCTCTATTCTCTATTCTATTGGTGAATTCTCTTCATAGCCACACCTTCCAGTTCCTTGTCAGAAGATCACTGTTTATCTCTCTTTAGATTTAGAAATTAAAGAAATTAATTTAGAAATGTTTCTTTATTGATAAAATAATCTACAAGAGAAAAGAAAATTAATATGTAATGTACAGTACCTTTTGGGAGATCGGTACTGCCTGAAGTATATAGGATGATTTCAGTAGGATCACTCCTGATGGGGTAATGTTCTTCACAAGTCAATGGTCTCTCGGACAAACCAATGGAAATATCCTCAAGAGAAGACCAACTGATTTTATTCACTTCAGGAAATAGGTCTTCCTCCTCTGAAATGATCAAATTTGTCATGAAAATGTAAGATGAACATTTTGGCCCAAATGTTAATAATTATCATGTATATAGAATAGAATAGAAAATTAAACTTTATTCTGGGACTAAGTCCCTTTAGAATAACAACGATGAGTTAATACAAAGCAAAGTACAAATCTGGCAAAAACTAACTTCTAAAAACTTTAATATTATATACATTATTTAAAAGGTATGTAACCAGTAAAAAATAAAAAATAAAATATATATACAAATGAACATAAAATCTTCTCAAAATTACTTAATTGTGATGAAAAAAAAAGAAGAGAAATTACATATTTATATATACATAACTGCACAATTTATAAACAATAGGCTATCTAATAGAAAACTAACTTAATACAAAATGTAATAATATCTACAGTGATTTCTATAATAATATGCAGACACTAAGATAAAATAAAATCTTAGGATTCTTGTGGTGTAATGGAAAAAAAAAAATAAAAGGAACTATTTATACGTACATTCTCATATTGGCATACAGAAAGACAAAAATATAAAATATAAACATATATACCCGAAAGAAAAAGCACAACCTGAGAAGAAGAGAAAAAAAATAAATAGTAAAAATAATAGTCAAACTAGGTGACAAAGATCATTGCTGTTTTATGTTGAAACTTAAACAGTAGGCACCACTATTTACTTCACGCAAATTCAGTTCATAAAATGAAATTTATGGTGGTAAATCTTCTGTTTGGGATGTAAGGAGATATTGGAAAAGGAGGTATTTGAAAGTTGACAGGGAAGAGGCATGACGGATGTTATGTGGCAAAGAATTCCAGTAGGAGACGGAGCGGGCTAAGAAGGAACGTTCATAGGTTTTTGTGCTGTGGAGTGGAATATAGAGGTCAGAAACACGGGATCTCGTTTTTATTGAGTGGACTAAGGGTTTAGGCTGGAGGAGAACAGATATAGGAAGGATACTGGGAGTTGATCGTTTGCTATACGAAATTTCCAAGGAAGTATAGGCGGCGGGAAGAGGGGAAGAGCCACTTTGACTCGGCATATAGGTGGGACACATGAGACCATCTCGAAGTGCCGAAGACAAATCTTAAAGAACAGTTCATGATTCTCTTCAGTCTGTCCTCAAGCTCCAACGAGAGGCCACCATATACCACACAGCCATAGTCAAAGTAGGGGAAAATCAATGAGGAAACGAGGAGCCTGCGGATAGGTTGTGGGAGATGCTGACGAGAACGATGAAATAATTTAAGAGTACCAATTGACCTTCTGGAGATTTGAGCAATATGGGGTTTCCATGATAGGTTTTGATCAATGGTAATTCCTAAGTTTTTTACAGAGGAGGTGAAGGCGATTGGTTGGTCATTAATAATCAAGGAAGGATGGGTGTTGGAACCTATAAGAATGGCCTGAGTTTTCGTTGCATTCAACTTATATATATATATATATATATATATATATATATATATATATATATATATATACAGTATGGAAGTAAAATATTCAATTTGTTCAGTGCTATTTACTGTTCATTTAAATAATAATTAAAATAAAGTAAATTTTTGTTTGCAAAGTTTAGACCTCTAATGTTGCATGGATTCTTCTTAATGACCTTTAAAATTTCTTAGGTAATCATTCCCGATAAAAAACATGGGAAAAGTATGGTCAATTATATTAAAGGTTATTAAATTCTCTACAAAAACACGATACATAAATACATGGATTCAGACCAATATTAGCATTGTAAGAAAAAGCACAATGAATTTAAAACATATTATGCATATTTCCACAAAACCCGACCACGATTTGTAAGGCACCCGACTAATACACCACTTTTAAATATTCTTAAATGTCAAATTACCGATCAATCTACTAAGGTGTAATCTTAGTACATATGGAAGATCCCTTAGGGTGGATAGAATTATACTGATAACAGTAGTCGGTATTTTTTTTTTTAAATTAAAATATTTTATTTTTTTTTATTTTTTAACGTATTACCAATTTATTTTCATAACATATGATCACAAGATGTCATTTTAAATTTAATAATCGAGATGACTAAACTACAATAATTATCAGCATTTTGTGCTCAAATTGTTTTTGAAAATATTCAAGGAATCTCACAGAGAAATTACAGCCGTCAAAGTTAGGAAGTGGTCATGCCATCCACTCAAAAACTCGTTAAGTGTCTTTTAGCGAATTGATCAAACACATTTTAAACAGTAATTTGACAAAATGTTGACCTCTTCCTTAAACTTATAATTTAAATATTAGCTTTTTCCTTCACAGATTATCACAAATTAACAAAAGCTTATTAACATTGCTTTAAATATCTGATGATGGCAAAACACAAAAGGCTCAAATTCTCAGGGAAAAATAGTGCAATCAGGATGTATGTTACTTCATTAATAAAAAAAAAATCTAAAGTATGAACTTCAATAATAAAGATCTACTAAAGAAATTGAAGCACATTGACAAACATACCAAGAAGTGTTTTATCCAAGAAGACACAATATAAATAAAAAAAAAAAAGTCTGCCAAGTAAGGTCAGTATAGCTTCCTCACCGTTTCATTGGCTAAAATATATCTATGTTTCAAGGTATACAATTTTTCGTATGAGAATAAAATCTTTGGGAGAAGCCGATTCGGAAATACAGGTAACCTACCCTTTTTCTAACTTTGAGCCAAATCGAACTAGCAGTTTCTGAAATATTGGCATATCTAAAAAAATGCGTTTGTGCGAGCATAAGCGAAAGTGCTGGTTAGAATTTAATGATATTGATATGGGGCCATCTAGCCACCAACCCATACAAGTCCTAAAAATTTCATGAAAATCGAATAAACGGTAGTAGGTGATATGCTCGTTACATCGATTTGACTACAGACAGACAGATACCGAACCAAATTTGATCCTTGATGTCTGAAACGTAAAACGCGAGTGAAAATTTTCGATTCCGAGTATAAAATTTTTTTAACATCTCGCACGAATACAATGCTTTCCTACCTTCGGTAGTGAGGAAGCAAAAATAATAACTTTATTAATAAAAAAGAATAAAATATTTTAAAATTAAAAAAAATATTACTAATTGACGCATTGCATACTGTACCCCGAAGAAAAAGATCCAATTCTCATATAAAACAGAAGCTTTGCAGTACAACAAATACTAAATTTTCAGAACTGCACCAAATCTTCGAAAAATCATTACATATCTCTCAGAGAATCAATGAAACGCATTTTATTTGAAAAATGTTCAATATTTTTAGCTCAAATCGTTTCATAACATTCACAAAATCTTACCCGATAATTTGAACCATCAAACATAACAAATCGATCTAGCAGTTCGCTTGAAAAAGCTTTACATTGTTTTTAGCGGACGACTCAAACACACAACCCTCGTTTCGCCTCGCTTAGTTATGTAAATACTATATGATTATTTATTTTATAAAATAATATTAGCAATGCGTTTCTAGATGTTAAAATTATTCTTTTATTATTATTATCTCTTTCTTGTCCACATATACAATGGTGTTTATAATATGCAATAGTTGGGGACCTATTAGGTCAGCCAAAAATTACATTTATGTATTTTCATAATTTTTTAATATTTGTGAACTCCCTGACTACACTTGCCGTTCTCAACAACACCGCTTTTAGCATTTTTTCGATCGTTCGAGATAGTAGTTCTAGTTCTCGCAGAGAAGATAGAGTATCTTCCGGTATCAGTCCGTTGCACGAGATTACAATTGGCAGAATTCGGGTTTCCTTTAAATGATACAATCGTTTTGTCTCTTCAGCTAATTCTACGTCATTTTCTCTTTTTTTTCCGCTACTACCTTGTGTAGGTTATCTTCAGAAAGAACTCTAATCTCTATGATAAATGCAGATTGCTTACTATTATCTATTATAAGAATGTCAGGTCTATTGTGGGGATGGTGTGATCCGTCAGGATCGGTTGATCCCAGAACACCTTGACATTGCGCATGAAGATAATCTGGTTCTGGATGGTATTCATAATACGGACAATATTTATCGACGAGTTCCATTTTCTGAGCCATAGCTTGATGCACTGCCTTAGCTGCATTGTTGTGTCTCTGCAAGTATTCCTTACCCGCAAGTATTGTGCATCCCGATGTTACATGTTGAATTGATTCAACTGCCTTTTTACATAAGTCATCGATGCCCTCTCCACATATATGTTTTCTGTATGCTTTTGTGGCTATTGCCTGTTCTTGAACAGCAAACAAGAATCTTTCTGTTTCCGGAAAGATACTTTCACTCTTCAGCCATGTCAACGACGCTTCAGCGTCCACATTATTTTTATTATTGATAACAGACAAAAAAATCTAGAAAAAACACAAACAAGTTGGTGCCTGCCACGTAATATGGCTTATAAATGTGCCCTCATCTAGAAAAAGTTAGAGACTCCTGCAATCAATCATTGTGTAATAATTGATACCATTATTTTAAACCATGAAGACTGAGGAAAGACGAAAATTGGAGTATGATCGAATTATCACTCTACAAATATCAATCTACATTGTCTAAAAGTGGTTCAGTCACGCTTGACATCTGATGACATTTAGTATTAAAGGTCTATATATATATATATATATATATATATATGGGGGCGGGGTGGCCGAATAGGCTAAAGCGTGTGCACAACACCGCTAGTTGCCTGGCAACCGGATAACAGAGATTTGAGATGATATAAAAAGTACGAGTTCGCGTCCCGGTGCCGTAGGGGATTTTAAATTCCCCGCCCTCACCCCCCGGCCCGGGAAAATCCCGTATAGCCTAAAAGGCGAGGTAGGGAAGAAAAAAAAAAAAAAAAAAGTATTAAAGGTTTGCTAACCCCTCATGACAGCCGAGTGATCTAAACCATAGATCTCAGATTGCCAAAAGGCACAAAAGGATAGTATGTGTATTCGTGTAGTGATAAACAATCAGTGGAAATATGTGTGAAATAATCATATAAAATCGATTATAATTGATAATGTTACCCCAGTCATCAATGATAAGGAATGGTTTGGCTTCTTCCAACAAATGTTTCACGCTATCTCTGGACGATGGCAGTTCTATCGGAAGGTAGCAGGCTCCAGTCTTCCAGATGGCCAGAATTGTGCAGATCAACTTCCAGGACGGAGGAATGCAGATCACGATCACACGATCACCATCGTTGTTGGGCGCCACCAGTTGACTGCAATGGCGAAGTATTCCTCTGGCTAGTTGGTTGCTTTTTCTTTCTAGCTGCTCCATTGTCATCTGATGCCTATTAAACGTCTCTTCATCTGTAATAATTACTTTATATGTACAATGTAAATAAAGTTCAATAGTAAATTATATATATATTCAATATTTTTTTTATAAACTTTAGGTGGCTGTCAAAAAATTAATCAATGATTGAAATGCATACTAGATCATAAAATCAAACATATATTTTGCGAATATTAAATTGTTTAAAAAAAACAATATTGTCAATATACACCAAGATCAAATACATTAGATGATTACGATGGGAAAATATGGACTTCCACTGTTCCAATGATAACACAGCTATTTTAAAAAACCTTTCAAGAAAAAATGTATGGTCCGTTATTTGATACTATAAAAAACATATGGAGGATTCGGATCGATAACAAACTTATTAATCTGTATGGATGGGTGCCACCTTGGTGCGGTGGATTAATGTACACCGAATAGAATAGTTAGACAATAGAGACGGGGGCAGGAAGGCCGAGCGGGCTAGCGCCTTTATGTAAAACACGCGTTGCCCGAAAACTTGATAAATCGAAGATAATGAGTTCAAATTCTGGTGTCGTGGGAGCTTATAACTCTGACAATAATCTCCCACTCTCTCCCCCTGCCCCGAGAAACAGTAGAAAGAAGGTTAGAAAAAAAAAATAGAAGAAAGAAGGTTAGGTAATAGAGTATGAATGCCTTATCGGGTACTTGAATACACAATAAATCATAAAAATTTGAACTGAAATAGAATCCATGCGATAAAGAACGTGTCGTCGGTTGATTGCAAAAAGTCAATGAGTACATTTTTGATGAAGCTCAACATTTTTGCCTATTTCGAGCTTATTTATGGATATACCGTAAGTGCACTAGAATGACACAAAATCTTTTATATATCAACTATAGTTGCCCAAAATGGTACAATTTTCTGATTTTACAAAGGAAAAGTTCATCAGCATTCATATTCCTTTAAGGTTATGAAATGTTACTTAATGACTTTTCGCAATAAGATTGAGATATCACCATTAAAATTATAATAAAAGGTTCATATTCAGCTAACTTAATAAGAGTGCGTGGTAGGAACTGGGAGTTGTGGCCTAAGTTCACCGTGACGTGACGTATACCTCTGCCCAACGCGATGGTAACAAACATATCTTCTTCGTTTTTCCCTCTAGATGGCTATGTCCTTAAGTAAAATTGTAAAATTATTGGTGCTCCTGCAGACTTCCGAAAAGCTTACTCCGAAGATCTGTGGTTTGTGGCCATATCTGCCTCCGCCTGTCCTCCTCCAGCTGGTTGTTCTGCAGAGCACACCACAGATGGTTTGTTCATTTTGGCCACGTCCACACTGGGGACTGGGTCCTATCTTGAACTTCCTGAAGAGACGTGATTTCAAACGGTTCTCTCCAGTTCTGAGGCGAAAAATGACGACCGTGTTAGCTTCTGATTAGCTTGAAATAATCGTCTTGGGGGTTGTGATATGAATGACTTGCTTTCTATGCTATGAAAACTGATAAAATGCATTTAAAACTAAATGTTTCTATTCGGGATGGTAAAGATGTGGAAAAACAGAAAGATATTTCTTGGAAAGAGATTTTGAAGTTGGAAATATCATTCAACACTAAAAGGTTTGTAACCAAGATTAAGATAGCATCGGAATAAAATAGAACGCTTCTCTCTTTTGTTTCCTATGACTGATTATTAATTTTTTTTAGCATGTGCATGTGCTCTTACATCTTATATCTCTTGTATTTTGACTACCTTTTCTTGATGTTTAGATGTGGCATAACATACTATAGTATATAGAATAAGTATCTTTTTTTTGTTATTTTTATTTTCTTAAATATCTTCCTATTTATCTTTAATTGTATATAGTAATTATGTTTAAATTCTCTCTTTTTTCTTTTATTTTATTTCTTATCTTGTAAATTGTATTAATTCTGTAAATATTTCTTTCTGTAAATAGATCTCTTCACCTTTTTTGCTGCTTTATAAAAATATCCAACCTAATCCCTTCTCACCTGAGCATGCATGGTAGAATAAATAATTAATGATGGCCAAATAATGGGTAAGTACCTTATGTTTTCTAGATTTATCTCTTTAGAGATGAAAGGCCGGTAAGCCAGGCGGCCAACAAAATAAAATTATATTTATTAAAACTTATTTTATTAACGTTTTATTTATACTTTTTTTTGGTCATTGGTTTAAGATACCCAACAGTTGGGGAGGGGGTGGCCGAATGGGCTAACGCGTGTGCACACACCACGAGTTTGCCCGGCAACCAGATAACCGAAGTTATGAGATTAAAAAAAGAGTAGGACTTCGCGTCCCGTTGACGGAGGGGATTTTAAATTCACCGCCCTTACCCTCCGGCTAAACAGTCAGGCGCCGGCAGGGCATGACGTAGCCGAGTTCCACTCTCATGACATAGGTCTACTCCCTCCACTTTTCTTTAACACTAATTATTTCTTCAAATACGCATAAGACAAATTCGGGAATTTTTGTCTTTTTTATCGTTATAATCTAATGTTACCAACAAATAAACCATGTAAGTAATCTATTGTAAAATGTCATAATACAATATATCATAGAAGAGTTAGAAGATCATGCAGGTATTTGTAGCAAGATGTTGAAGATGATTTGACAAAAAAATTTTTATCACTGGAAGCAGCAGACAGAATACCATAAATAGAGAAGAATGGATCAAAATGGCAAAGGAAGACAAGTACCTGTACCAGGCTCTAATATTGAACTACTACTATATTATAACTATCTAAATTACCTTCCCAGATGAGTGCGATGGCATTAGGATGACTCTTTGCAAGATCAGAGAATAGTTGACATGGCCTCTGTCCAGGGAATCTACTCTCTTTTACTGGACCTGCCAGTAAGGCGTCGTTCTTTACTGAATTCATCCTTGAAAAAATATATTTATAAATTATTTAAATTGAAAATTATAGAAATACACAAATAAAAATTTATATATTAAAGCAAGAAACCCTAGAAGTTCATCTTTGAAAACATAGACTTGGAGGTATGTACCGATAGTCCGAGAACCCGTGGGAAAAATCAGTATCATTTGATGAAAACTTCTTTGCGACTCTTTGGTTTGCGACTCTTAAATCTCATCTCGACCGCTCCAGCTTAGTAAAGCTGACCAGGCTTAGGATAAACCACGGCAGAACTAATAAATATCTACATCTAATGGGTCTAGCTGAGAGCGGTCAATGCACAACATGCCAATGCTTGGAGGATCCAAGACACATTGGCTTCAAGTGCAAAAGGTTCGAGAAGCGAAGAAGAATTAGTTTAGGATCACAAACTACGGATGATGGAGCTAACTTTCTTCGGTCGATGAACAAAGATAACGCCCGTGACTTGATAAAGGTTTTAAATGACATAAAAGCAGTCATATAATAAAAGTCGCCTCTTATTCTCAGTTAATTGTAATTCTAATTCACCTCAGTTTTTAACTCCAGTCATTCTAGTTTCCATAATATCTAATATCCAAGTCCCATATAAGTTACTTTCAGTGATCATCTAACTATAAATAATTAATATAAATCCAGTGTAATTTCCGTCTAAAAACCGTAATTTCATCTCACTACGACAATTAAAATATTTTACTGGCAAAATAGGACTTGCTTTTACAAGCCTTAAAGCCAAAAAACAAAACAAAAAACTTTTTTGAATTAAATGTTTTGTAACTTGAAATTTAAAATAAGAGTTAAATTGTATATGGCCAAAGATGACCCATAGTTGGAAAGCCCTCACTGTTATAAATAAAAATTCACAGATGAATATAATATATTTTCAAACGTATTATGTACAATATTAATAAAATATTCAACTTAATGTATTATTATTATTGTTATAGATAAATGGATTACTAATTGTAACATCCACTGATTTCAATAATTTTCAACTAATTTTGTTCCTTAGAGTTGCAAAACGATATTTCGTTTTGTTTACTCTCTTATCTTGTAAAAATGGATAGGATCCGTCTTTTTATTTTGTATTAATTTTTAGGGTTCGATATACATTTATTACTTTATTATATATATTTTTAGATTACTGGTTTATTGATAAATTTTACGATCTGTCTTAATAAAGGGCACTTATAATAGAGTTCAGAGAGCACATTCACACCATATTTACAAAATAAAAAAATAAATAAGGTAATTTCAAAATAATATACAGCGAAATAAGAACAAAATAAAATATAATGAAGAAAGAAAATATTAATAATAAAATTAAAATAAATAAATAAAATTAAATTAAAATTTTCTTATTATTTATATATCTCTATTATATGTTAAAATGTTTTTAGTGAGTGTCATATTTTATTTTAATTTTGTATTAGGAGAGTAGGAGATTACAGGAGCTCTCTTATTAACGCTTTGATTAGCACTAATTATACAGCTGTTAATTCAATCGCATATGTGTTGAGCTCCTGTAACCTCCTAATACAAAACAGAGATTTACACGCCGGTGTCTTCGTTATGGTACATATTATGTATTGAGCTCCTGTAAACTCTTATTCTCCTAATACAAATGAAAGATTTTAGAGCTGAAATTTGTATGCGAAATGGTAGTTTGATTTTACCTAGGTGACAGCAGTTATTTTTCGATCTTGACTTTTTCTCTTGAATACAATATATTACTTATTATATTATATATAATATTATTTATATTGTATTGTGATATAATTATTATAAAATAGGAAAAGAAACACAATATAACGTACAATGAAAATATTAGAAATAAAAGGCTCAAATTGATGTTGGGCTTATATGAAGTTAGATAAGTAGAATATATACATAATGGTCACAAATCAGTAATAAGAATGATTACAATTATATAATAATATAAATTGACAATAAGGCGCAATGTATAATGTAGATTTTTAAAGAAATTGCAATTTTGATTGTGGTTTCGTTCAGGTTTTTTTATGTTGATAAAAAATAATTCATTCTGAACTACAGAATACATTTAAATTACAGTTATACAATTTGTGCAACGAGAAGTACAATGCAATGAACATTTGTAAAATGGGGGTTGCCTATTTGCCTATAAATATAACATAAATATCTTCTATTGCAGTTAACTTTGTCATTAATTAAGAGAAAATGTAATGTTTTGCTGTAAAAACAAAAAAAAAAAAAAAATAAAGAAAATCATTGACGTTAGTATAATGACGCTAGTATAAACAAAATATATTAATATACTCACAGTGTTCTAGACGAGTGTAATAACCTGAAGATGTCTGTGGTAATGAGTCTAGTGGTCGGCTGGTCGAGGTTTTATACACTCCCCACCAATTTAATCAGCTCTGTCTATGTTTGTATATTTATGTATGCAAGCATGTATTTATGCATAACAATACGGCTTATTATATTTCTCGACATTATTCACATAAAAATGAATTTAGTGGATGTTGTAGTTGCGAAAAATATAACCATGTTGCGAAACAATGTCCTAATAAAAAAAAATTAACCTTAGAAATATCCTCTCAGAATTTACTTATTTTGCAGTGAAATCTTTGAGATTATTTATTCAAAACAAGTCAAGAATACATAATAACAATTGATATTTATTGTTTGTTATAAATTATAGGGTTATTTTTATTTTATTTTATTTTATTTTATTTTTTTCATTTTTTTTTTCCCTTATATGCGATATCACAATCAGGCCATGTCTAGTAGAGCTTCTATCAAGAGAATTCGGCCGTTAGGCTCAACACCTTGTTCTTCGCCTGTCAAACAAAAGCCTCGTCAATGTCGTCAAACACCTGCAGTAACGCCTATTAGCTCCAGAGAAAATGAAACCCAGCCAGGAACATCATCAAAACCAACAATTGAAGAACTTCAGCATCAACCAGGTACATCTTCACAAGAGATAACCGAACAATCTCCGTTTTTCACCCCTAACCCCTATCAGGTGCTTCAGAATGATAAAGAAGTGATGGAATCCGCTTCAATACCAAGAGATCCCCGACCTCCACCCATATTCGTTAAAAACATAAGCAATTTTCAGTTACTATGCTCACAACTGAACAAAATAACAGGCTCTGGAAGCTATTCATGTCTAAGCAGAACAAAGGACACGAAGATATCACCAGATACAGCTGAAACCTACAGAAAAATTGTGAAGTATCTAACGGAAACCAACGCGGATTTTCATACGTACCAATTACGGCAAGATCGAGCTTTGAGGGTAGTCATAAGAAATCTACACCCCTCAACACCAACCGAAGCAATAGAAGAAGAATTGAAAACTTCAGGTTTCATAGTGCGCCAGATTACAAATGTACAGAAGGAGAGTAAAGAACAGCCAGGAGTAAAAGTTCCTCTACCCTTATTTTTCGTAGATTTGGAGCCAAATCAAGGGATCGAAAAAATATACGAAATAAGAAGAATATACTACACAAGTGTTATAGTAGAGAAGCCATATCCTAAGAGGGAAATCGTACAGTGTCACAATTGCCAGGCATATGGCCATACCAGGACTTACTGCCATCATCTGCCGCGCTGTGTGAAATGTGGAGAGCAGCACAAATCCGGGGAGTGCACAAAACCGAAACGGGATCCTGCAGTTTGTGCATTGTGCCTTGAAGGACATCCAGCGAACTACAAAGGCTGTCAGATCTACAAGAATATTAAATCAAGATATCAAAAATCCCGGACCCAAGAAGAAGCAGAGGCATCAAGAAGAGAACCTAACGCATCAAGAAGAGGACCTTCAAAAAAAATTGACCCAACGGTGTCTTTTGCACACTTATTAGGAGGTAAGAATGATGTTACTTATTGTGAGACCCTGCCGCAACAACAACACATACCTCAAAATTCTCAACCCCACCCTCAACATCCTAATCAAACTTCACCTAATCAACAGTTTTATCAACACCAAATTCCCCGCATTCCTCCTCCCTCAAATACCACAGATCTCACCAGTTTACTTACATCTTTCCTCTCCGAATTCAGATCCCTTGTTACTCCTTTGATATCTCTTCTCACCAATCTTGTATCACATTTTATCCCTCCCGCGAAAAATCCTTAAATGACTTCCAATAAACCTTTATCCATTCTCCTTTGGAATGCGAATGGTGTTAGAAATCACACAAACGAACTAACTACATTATTACTTGACAAAAATATTGACGTGGCACTAATTACTGAAACTCGACTAACCACTAAACAGCACTTCAAAATACCACAATACCTGACATATCGTACTGACCACCCTGACGGAAAAGCACATGCCGGTACTGCTGTCATTGTACACCAATCCCTCTCCCATCACCTACTCCCGTTACCTACACATGATTTCCTACAGTCCACCGCTATCGTGATAAAAACCTTTTCCTTTCCGGTTACCCTTGCATCAGCGTATTGCCCTCCTAACCGATCCATATCCAATGCCCAATTCCGTTCTCTCCTCGACTCCTTAGGACATCACTTCATCTTGGGTGCAGACCTAAATGCCAAACATCAACAATGGGGTTCCAGAACCACGAATACTCGTGGCCGAACCCTGCTGTCTGCACTCAATTCCCAACATTTTCACCTCCTTTCCCCCAACTCTCCTACCTACTGGCCTACAGATCCCAACCGTAATCCTGATCTTCTTGATTTTTTTATCCACAGCGGCTTAAGTCCCCTCAATTGTTCCATTACACGTCTAAATGAACTTTCCTCTGACCATAGTCCTCTAATCCTTAATGTTTCACTTGAACCCGTTCCCAAACCTTCTCCACCGTCATTTATTAGGGGCCCAGTTAACTGGGACCTTTTCCGCCAAATCATCTCCGATAAAATTGATCTTAACATATCCCTCAAAACTCCCGATGACCTTGATAGTGCCGTAAATTCCTTTACTACCACAATCCAACAAGCCGCCTGGACTGCTTCCTTCCCAAAAGACTCCTCCAGAATTCCTAAAAAGACCATTC